GGTGTTCCTTTGCACCATTCAGAGCATAATAAGTTCGGTCCAGTTGGCCTTGAACATTCAAACATCCAAGCTCCATATGCTGGTGACAGCAGGAAGTCAGACCAGTGGCCCAGCTGCTCTCTCCAAGGTTTTTACCACCTTTTTTCAGACACACAGGCCCTTACAGGTGTCTTAGGTGGGGTGCAGTGTCCAGATCCCCTTGGACCTGTATTAATTCACCCACTACAGGGGAAAAGACATGAATGACAGAGCATAAGCTGACCTCAGTGARTCATTTCCCCAATGTGGGTCAAGTTCACAACTCCACAGCATCCACAGAGGAAAGGAAAGGACAGGAGAAAGGAAAAGACAAAGCCCATATTCTTCCTYGAGCAGGGAAGGCGCCAGGTCAACCACCCGGGTCCCTTCAGTGCAGGCTTCCCCACTGCCTGCCAGCAGTCCGTGCCAGGCCATCCCAGGGATTTGGAAGGACTGTGCTACACCATTGTTCCCTCCACCTCCGCAACCATTCTTCCCTGGTGAGCAATGCAAGAGGTTCCTTGCATCYTTCCCCAGGACAATGGGGCAACTCACCCTCCCCTGCCGTCCCCAGAGATACCAGCATGGACATTCCACGGCGACTCTCTGTCCCGGCCTGTCTATGCGGTAGACTTAGGGAGAGAAAAACACGAATTCTACCTCCAGTGGGGGCCCTGCCAGGCACGCTCACCCCCACCCTGCCAGGCACGCACATTGTTTTACTTCAGTGGAAGGAATTACACCATGCCTTCTCTGTGCTATGCTTTCAAAAAAAATTAAAAAAAAAAAAAAACTTCATCAGTATGTGGTGAACAGCTTTCTATGGCATGATATTTTTGAGAAATTGGTTTGATCACAAGACAAGTAATTATAATTTTATTGATTGACTGATTGATTGATTGCTGCACAGGAGATGGAACCCAGGGTGTCTCACACATACTAGGAAAGCTCTGAGCTACAGCCACAGKTCTTTGTTTTCTTGGTTTTGTATTTGGTACCAGGGACATCCCCAGTCATTTTTGTCTTTTAATTAGAGATAGGTTCTCACTAAGTTGCTTAGGGCCCCACTAAGTTGCTGAGGCTGGTTGTGAATTCACCATCCTCCTGCCTCAGCCTCCTGAGCCACTGGGATTACAGGTGTGCGCCACAATGCCTGGCGCTATCTCCAGTTCTTTCTATCTTTTATTTTAAGACAGGGTCTTTTTTTTTTTAAGTGTGTAATTTGTTTTATTTTATTTATTTATTTATTTTAAAGACAGAGGTGAGAGAGAGAGAGAGAGAGAGAGAGAGAGAGAGAGAGATAAAGACAGAGAATTTTTTTTTAATATTTATTTTTCAGTTTTTTTGGCGGACACAACATCTTTGTTGGTATGTGGTGCTGAGGATCGAACCCGGGCCGCACGCATGCCAGGCGAGCGCGCTACCGCTTGAGCCACATCCCCAGCCCTTAAGACAGGGTCTTGGAAGTTGTCCAGGCCGGCCTTGAATTTCTGGTCCTCCTGCCTTAGGCTCCTGCGTTGCTGGGATCCTAGCAATTTTCAGAATTTCATCAGTAATTGTCTATGAGCTTACCTCCCAGATTCAAACTCTACCAGCAAAAGTTTTGTGCTTATTGAAGAGAATATATGGAGCTTAATTAAAAAAAAWTTTTTTGTAGTTGTATATGGACAGCATGCCTTTATTTTACTTGTTTATTTTTATGCAGTACTAAGGATTGAACCCAGTGCCTCACATATACTAGGCAAATGCTCTGCCACTGAGTTACAACCCCAGCCCTGAAGCTTAATTTTTAACTCAAGGATCATGGCCCTGTCTAATGCATAATTGTTTCTAAGCTGGTTTCCACCAAGCTGTGCCTTTTGGACAGAATTGGTATGAAGTGGGGCTGGAGGCAAGGGGCAAGTTGGGGATGAGAAGTGTRTAGAGTCTCAGGGATAGAAGAGACTTGCCAAATTGTCACCTAGCCTTCGCTTGCAATTCTCTAGTGACAGGGAACCTACCACTCTACCAAGATGGCAATTACCCCACTTCATCCTGCTGGTGGCACTTGGGAGTAGCAAACCCATTCATCCTTGGATGTCTCCACTGCTTTAAGTCTTTCTTCTGTAGATCTAGACTCTTTCTTCCTGAAGGTTCCAACTGTACCAATCAGAGCTCTTTCTTGGTCACTCTGCAGGAGGTGGAGGCCCTCTCTCTTCTCCAGCTCACCTCACTTTCCTACACGGGGTTTCCCTTCTCTTGACCGACACACCTCAGAGGACACAGAACCCACCAGGTCACAGGCACTCTCATCTGCATCTCCCAACAGGAGCAGCCTCTGCTCCCTTCCCAGGAAGCCTACTTGTGTGCTGAGCCAGAGGCCATCAACCCGTCTCTCCTGGGAGTGCACAACGTCACAGCTGCTTCTCCATAGTCCAGAACTTCACGCAGAGGTTCAGAGACGTAAAGTGCTCAGAACTCCCAAGAGAGGGTGTGGGCAGGAAAGACACAATTTCCAAAATGTCGGAGGTGGATTTATGGAGATGGAGTCGTGAATGGCTGCCATTTATTTAGCTACACTTTTGAGGTAGTTTGATGTGGGGATGCCTCTCTCCYGTCTCCATGTCTCTTCAGTTCCTTGTCTGCGCCTCTCACAATAGACTTTCAGTCGACAAGCCTGAAGTTGTGGAGTTGATTCGGGAGCTCAGCCGGGTTTCTGTAAGAGCTCTTGGGTATTTGAAATGGTGGGTTTCTCCACAACTCCAACTGGGAGATTTGCTCTTCTGTCAAAGAACCTTTGATCTTCATACAGCAGTGTAACTCAAGTTTCACAGGCTCCTGTCGATTTTCTACGATGGTTCTGTTGGACTGGCTTTACTTGTACTCTGGGCTCTGATGGTGCACTTGGGAGTAGCAAACCCAGCTGTCGTGCAGGGGAGGGGGTGGGGGTTCTACCCTCCCTGCCCACCCCCCCCTCGATTGTGTTGTGCACAAGGATGGAATCCATCCTCTTGGGCAGGAAGGAAGGGGATGACATTAATGGCGAGTCTGCTGTGTGTCAGGCTCCTGCACTGTAACTCTTAATAATGTCCCAGGCAGATTGGGCAGTTGCTCTGAAGCCGGCCCCAGACTGAACCCACACAGCCTCCTCTCACTTCCCTCTCACAGCAGATCTGGGAGGCGGGCACCATGTCCACTCCTTTCTACAGAGGAGGAAAGTGAGTCCATAGAGTTAACTCAGGGGAACCTTCCTGAGGMCCCTGGGAGGTGGGCAGCAGGGGGGTAGGTCTGGGCCCAGGTTGACTCCCAGAGCCCTGCGCAGGCCACCACCAGGACGGTGGCACAGACAGCGGCYGTGGTGATGCAGCCAGCAGATGATTTATTCTCATTTACGGAGGAGCAGAGTGCCACCCAGAGTGCCACCATGAGATAACTTGGGCCAAGCCTCACAGCTAGGGAGCCACAAAGGCAGGAGGAAGAGCAAGGCCTGCCGACCTCTGGGGAACTCTTTCCTTAAAAGAGACAAAGCAAGTGGGCAAGGAATTTTCTTTCCCTCCTAGTAGACTGGGAGTCTTAAGGCCAGGGACAATGTCTGATTCAGCACCCACACCCTGAGAGGACCCTAACAGGTCCCTCACAGGATGGCACGAGTTGTGTGCTGGAGGGAACCCTGTGCCGGGGCAGGCAGACACTGCATGTGGCTGACCAAGGATGGTGGACAAAGTCTGTGGAGGGCCATCGGGGTGGCCACAGAAGGGAAGCTCTGAGCAACCAAGGGCAGGGCCAGGGTGGTCCTGGGGACAGGGCATGGCTGGCCACTGGAGGGGTTCTCGGCAGGCCTGAGAGCTGTGGCTCCTTGGTGGGGGTTGCTGCCTCTCAGGGGCCCCTCACATCTTCTCTGAACATTCTTTGCAGGTACCTAGGAAACCTGGACACTCAAACCCTGCCCGGAGGAGGCATGCTCTCTTGGAAGAGCCRTACAGCAAGAAGCTGAACTAGAAAACACGCAAGATAAGCACAGTGCCCTGTGAGGAAGAAAGTGGAAAACATGGTAGGAAATACTGAGGCCGGGAAAGGCTTCTCCCAGAARTGACATTTGAGCATAGAGCAGGGGCAGGGGAAAGAGCCACTCATGGTTAGCTCTGGGAGGAGAGTACCTTGAGCAGAGAGCACTGTTTGTGCAAAGGCCCTGAGGCTTGAAAAACGCTAAGACATCTGTAGAAGGCCAAGGTGGCCAAAGCAGAGTGTGAAAGGGATCTAGGGTGAGATATGGTCATTACTCAGGAAAGAGACCCAGCCAGGCACCCCTGGATTCAGGACCCTTTCCTGTCTGTGGCAGCCTCCCTCTCTGGGACACTGGGCCTCCTTTGCATGATGATAAAGTAGCCACCTGGAGTTTCAGAGAAGAGGTGTCCTTCCCCGCGGTCTTCCATGCCCCACCATTCCCATCACCCCTGGTCCCCAGGAGCCAGGCTTGGTGTCTTCCTCACTGGGGATTCCCAGAAAACCTCAGAACTCCCCCTGCAGTTCTGGGCACAGGGGCCAGGGAAAGGAAGGAAATTCTCACACATAGCTTTCTCCCAGGGAATTTGCTCATGTTCCCAGGCTGACAACTGGCAGCCTTCAGAACCTCATCCCCCACCCCTTCCTCCTCCTCTTCTCCCTACCTCCCTCTTTCCCCTGCCCCCCTTCTCAAGCTTAATGACTTCCACATGGGCCTCCAGCGGCTTGAGCCAAGCCCTCAGCATTGTCTGAAATCTCCAAATTTAGAAGAAATATGAAAATTGTCAACCACTCCTTCCTTAGGGGGTAAAAGCAACATTCAGCACCAGGGGCAGGTCAAGGCGAGGCAGTCACATGGCCGGACGCTGGGCCAATGGGGGCCCTGGGAGGACTCAGGCCCCGCCTCACCCCAACACCAGGCTCGCCTCTTCAGCTCATATAAGGTAAAAGGCAGATCGGCCTCCGCAGCCAGGGAACTGCGGGCAAGGGGCTGAGGGGAGGGGGATCCAGTGCCAGTCGCTTAAAAATGCCCCTGTGGTAGTAAGGGGTGCCAGAGGCCGGGTCAAGTTAGTTGAGAAGCAGTGACACCCCCCACCAGTCCCCAAACAGGCTGACCCCATCTCTAGGCCCCAAGGAGCCACACCTGGACCAGACTGCGGGACAGGTAAGAATCGGCAGCAGAGATGGGGGCCATGATGGGACCTCTGTGGCCTCCTCCCCAGGAGGAGGCTGTATCTAGRGTGCTCCTCCTTGCTCTCTTTTTAAGCCCTCCGCCTTCTGCCTCTCGGAGCCTCAGTTTACCCATCTGCACTGGGCCTGGTCTCGATGATCTCTCAGAGTCCGCCCAGCTCCACCCGGCTCTAATCTGTGGTCCTTTGCTCCTGGGACCCGTCGTGGCTACAGTTAAATGGGAAAGGAGGAGAGGATGGAGTAGACAGAGTGACTGCCCTGCTGTCCCTAGCTTCACCTCAAGCCCAAGTCWGGGTCCGTCTCCCCGGCTTCTTTGTAGACAGTGCTCTTCTTTGTTGTATGAGGTTTTGACTTCACAGTTCCAAGAGCCTGGGGCTCCTCCAGATAATAGTCTGAAGAAACAAAGCTGGGAAGAAGCCGTGAGCTCAGGCTCTGGCAGGGAGGCGCAGGGTCCGGCAGGAGGAGCGGCGCGCGGAGCCGTGGGGAAAGACACTGGCTGTGGGGACGGATGAGCCCAGGGCTCCAGCCCTAGCTTGGCCCTCAGTGCCCAGCTGTGTGGCCCTGAGCAAGCACCCTTCTGTCTCTGGGCCAGTTTCCCCATCTGTACGAGGAAGCCACGGGGCAAAATGGTCTCTACAGGATGTGACTTCTGAGACATTTGAGCCTGAGGGGAGCTGGTGTTGGAAAGTTCTCTGAGCAAAGTCTGAATTTGACCATGGTCTTGGAGCCCAAGCAGATGCCCAAAGCCCGTGGGAGCTTTTGAAGGCCGAGCCTGAAATGATGGAAAGTGGCTGAGGGGTGTCTGGCTGCAGCCTCTAGGGCCAAGGGGCTAATCTCTGGACTTAGCAATACAGGAGTGCAGGACCTCAGGGCCGGATGTGGGGAAAACCATGGAGGGCTTCAGGGGATAAAGTCATGGGGCCAGGACTCTCGGATGAAGGCTGAAATCCTGTGATGGGTTCCGKGGGAGGCTGGGCTGAGCAGAGGCTTAGGACTGGGACCCAGGGTCACACAGGCGACATCCAGGCGGGCTCTTCAGATCACACACTGGCCACATCCAGGCCCAAATGCAGCACAGTCCTCCTGCATCAGGGTGTCCAGCACCCTCACCTTCTTACTTCTGGCCTTATGTGACTGTCCTGAAGGAGGCTCTGGAATCCAGTTGAATGGGTCCAATTCTGGCTTGTTTACCTATCAGAAGAGTGACCCTGGGCAAGCCACTTGCCATCTCTGAGCCTCACCTTGTTCCTCTGTGAAATGGGTGCAGTCCTGGTTCTGACCTCACATGGCTGTTAGGAGCAGTGAAGGACTTATGCCCCTAAGGAGCAGGGACCAGTGTGACAGTACAGTTAGACCCCGTTCCTTTTACAGAGCAAGGTAACGTTAGCTATGTTTACACAGAAGAGGGTAAGAGCCAGGCAGGGAGTATCCAGAGCTGCTCAAGAGAGGCCAGGCTCAGGGAGGAGGCAAGATGGATATGAAATCAGAGGTGAGGGGCCAAGATCCAGCCTGAGGTCCTTAAGGGCTGTTCGGCCTACTTGCTTGTATGCATAAGGTGTTTGTGGGTCAGGGGTCTCCCAGGTGCAGGGGTCTGAGCCACTGCATGGTCATCTGTTGATGTGTGTCAGGTAGCCTGGGGATCTTTAGTGTAGGCTCCCAAGCATTCCTAGGTTTGGGGAAGTTTTAGGAACGCCGGACTATAAGCAGAGAGCTGTGAAGCCACAGAGCGGAAACTTAGCTCTAGGCCATGCAGCGAGCTTATGGCTGAGTTGGAACAGAACCTGCATCTCTGCCCAACTATGGGCTCCTTAAGGTGGTACAAATAAGGACAATTACATTGCTTTCATTTGTGGAGTGCTTACCAGGTCTAGTAACTACCTAACACCATTATATAAAAGAATGAATTCAATCCTCAAAAGACCCTGTGAGCTAGAAGCAAGTGTCCCTGATGCAAAGATTAGACACCAGAGGCACAGAAAAGTAGCTTAATAAATGGTGAAACTTGCAATCTGTGTGTGCACTGGCTGCCCCAAGCTGCTGTCCCCCCRCCCCAATCCCCAGGAGTCTCTAACCTCCTGCCCTAACCCTTGACCACCCCAACATTCCTGAGAAACCTCCCATCTGCCTTATAGAAGAACAGAATATGTATGGAGGACTTCCCAGGAGACAAGTACTGGGCAGAATCACTTGAATTGWCATTTAGTTCTCCCAGGATGACTGTGAGGCAGGAAGCAGCATGATCCCATCCTCCCCAGTTTATAGAAAAAGAAAACACTGCAGCTCACCTGAGGCCATGCAGCTAGAAAGTGGTCCAGGGGGATCTGACCCCAGCCTGTGTGGTCTAACCACACACTCTCAGCCCCTCTGTGAGCTAAAAGGAGGAATCCATCTTGAGGACACTGAAGCAAGGAGGAGCTGCGCCAGGGCTTGACCCAAGTCCCCTGGTTCTGAGGCCTCTGTTCTCCCTTCGGCCACACTGCAGCCCCTGGAGAGAGAGGAGTCGAGTCAGCCCTTCCTGGAGAAGAGCAAACATAGAGCCCTGCAGAATAGGAAGTTCTAGGCCGCAGCCACCACTGACCCATGTRGCTGTGCCAAACTCCCTGGGTGAGCCTCAGGGGCTCCCTAGATGGTCTCTGAGATCCTYACTGCTGAGCTGTGCTGGGGCCCTGCCTCCTTCTGCAATTCTGCCATTAGGCAGTCCCGGGGGCTCAGGGCCTTGGGCTGGTTCAGAGCCACAATAAAGGCTATTTCCAGTGGAATGACCAGGTTTCTTGAAGTATGTGTGTTGCACACTTTATTTATACCATATGCATTGAACTTGTCTAGTAAACAATGAAAGGGATGGGGCTGGATGTACTTCAGTGGTAGAATGCTTGCCTAGCATGCAAGAGGCTCAGGGTTCCAAACCCAACACCACAGAAAAAAAAAAAAAGGAAAGAAGGAATGGCAATTAAACTGTGTGTGTTCTGCAGGATGCTGTGYTCTTGTCCGTGTGCGTATCTAGATGCAGAGCTCTGGGAATCACAGGCCCCAGAGTGGGAGTGGGCATTGCCCATGTGGCCTTCCCTAGCCCACCAGAATACATTTGCTGCCATCCAATCAGAGGTACCCAGGGGATGGAGCTGCAGGAATTTGGGGGAAATTTGCCGCCTGCTAACAGCCTGTCTAGACAGGCCCCACGGGGCTCCGGTTCTCACCACACGTTGTAAGAGCACCAAGGCCCATCCCCTCCCTGCTTACAAAAGAGGCTTCTTGGCGGCAGTGCTTCACCATCGAGACCTTTTCTCCAATTCAAAACAGGCCTTAATGCGCAGCAAGGATCCCCCACTCTCCTGGGCCCCCAGAGCCCAGCTTATTCAGCCCCTTTTTGTTTAGCTGAAGAGACGGAGGTTGACCCCCCAGAACCAGGGGCTGTGGTGGGTTGGGGAATCCTGTGTCCACCAGATGAGTGAAGAGGGCAGAGGAGAGTCAGCGAGCTCTGAAGGGGGGCTAAGATGCAGTCGGCGCCAGCCACGACATAGGGTTCCATCCTGCCTCTGCCTTGAAGCYGCTGTGGGATCTTAGGCCACCTGAGCTCTCTGTGCCTCAGTTGCCTCATCTGTAAAACAGAGATGATAAGACGACCTGTCTGGCTAGCTTACTGAGTGGTTTGGATTAAAGGAGATGAAACTTGTGAAACCTTTAGAACAACGATTGGCACAGTCGGCCCTCATCAGCTTGGGCTGCCCCTCCCCCAGGTTATTGGAGACTTGAAGGGACAGCAGGTTAGACCAAGACTGGGGGAAGCCACCCCACCCTGGCACCTCCCCAAAAGTCCTCATCAGCCACAAGCCAAGGCTTCTCCTTAAAGACCCCTCCCCAGGCCCAAGCTGCGCTTCCATTGCGTGAGACCCACAGGCTTAACAGGTGCTCTAGCCAGGCACAGGGGCATACCCCGCAATGCCAAGGACTCCAAAGGCTGAGGCAGGAGGATGGCAAGTTTGAGGAAGGCCTCAGCAATCTAGGGAGGAYCTCAACAACTGAAGGAAACCTTGTCTCAAAATAGAAAGGGCTGGGAATGTAGCTCAGTGGTAAAGCACCCCTGGATCCATCCCTGGTACCCAAACAAAACAAAACTGCTYCACTGCCACTAGCTGTCACCCATCCTCTCCTCCTCCTCTTCCTCCAGGGAAATGAGGATGGGAGAAAGTGTCCAGAATGAGGCTGCTGGCCTTGGATGGCATCTACAGAGGCTATGACACTGTAGCTGCACGGCTGGGCTTAGAGGCCTCTGGTCAGCCTTCTCAGGCCTGCTAGGCCTCAAGCATGTGGCCCAGTGTGCTAAGACCTGGCTCAGGCCCTGCGACCAGCACACTGGAGGTGCWCCCCCACCCACTGATTCCCTCAGGCTCAGATACCCAGTGTTGGTGATGGAAAGGAGACAGTTCAGGGGAAGGTGGTGGGTAGCAAGGGCGTGCTCTGGACAGACAAACAGAAGGAGAGAGAGCTCTGGGTGCAGGGGTACAGAGGACTGTGAGCATCTTCAGAAGATAGAAGCCCATCTGGCTGGAGCTGAGGGTTGATCTAGAAGCTCAGCAAGGGAGGGGACTGGCAAARTGGAGAGGGCCTGAGCTGCTGAGTGGCTTTGGCATCAAAACCACAGCCACACAGGAGTTGAGAAAGCCCTCTTTGGTATCTGTCCATCCCTTTCTTTAACCTGTTTGTCTCCTTCTCCCAAAACACTGTCAGACCAAGAACCCCAGTGCAGGGGAGAGACCTGGGAATCYGGGCATCAAGTAATTCTCCAATGTCAGACAACAGGGAGAAGAGACTTCATGGTGGGATTAGGAGGGACAAGAAGCCTAAGAGCTGCAGTCACCATTTGCAGACCTCTCCAGAACCTTCTGARGAGCAGGAACTTCTTTGCTGCTCCAGAAGATAGGGTACAAAGCCCTATAAGGACAGATGGCAGCAAGATACTAGGAAGGAGTCTCC